CAGAACAGTTCTGAGGGAGGGACACTGGACCCGAAACGTTTTTTCTTCACAGGTGCTGCCAGACCGGCTAAGAAAAAACGTTTCGGGTCCAGTGTCCCTCCCTCAGAACTGTTCTGAGGAAAAGTCACAGGATCCGAAAAGTTAACGGAATTTTTTCTTTACAGATGCTGCCAGACCTGCTGAGCTTTTCCTGCAACTTCTGTTTTTGTCCCTGACTTGTAGCATTCGTAGTTCTTTTGGTTTTTATTCAATATTGATAAGGACACTACCATGAACAAGATCTGTGCCTCACAACCCACTTCATCTTTATTTGGGAGGTGATGACCTAGTGGTATTATCATTGGGCTGTCAATCCAGAGATCCAGATAACGTTCTGGGGATCCGGGTTTGAATCCTGCCATGGCAGATGGTGGAATTTGAATTCAATAAATATCTGGAATTAAGAATCTAACGATGACTGTGAATCCATTGTTGATTGTTGGAAAGACCTATCTGGTTCACTAATGCCCTTTAGGGAAGGAAACTGCCATCCTTACCCAACCTGGCCTAAAAGTGACTCAAGACCCACAGGAATATGGTTGATTCTTAACTGCCCTTTGGGCAATTAGGGGTGAGCAATAAATGCTGCCTAGCCAGAGACACCCTCATCCCATGAATGAATAAAGAAAGAAAACCCTTCAACAACGGCGTATACAAACAAATCAATGGGATCCCCAATATCAGGACTGATTGCAGAAGCAGTAATGCAAAGGTTAGAACATACAGCGCTTCCCACTGTACAACCCAAACTTGGGTCCGATGTGTTGGATCCCTCTGGCTTCATTCTTTTGGTAGTTTGTCTCTGTAAACGAGCCGCAATTACGCAAAGCAGAACAGTAGCACCTATACGGAGTCTTCAAAAGAAATGGATACCCAAAAAGCACTATCCACCATTACCTCCAAGACAGACCACTACAGGAAGACACAACACGATCAGACTCACTAATCATCCTACTGTACATCAGGAACATTTCAGAGATGACCTCAAGACTACTCAGACCCCTAAGTATCAGAATACCTACAAACCGACAATCACCCTACGACAGCTACTGACAAATGTAAAGGATACCATACCCAAAACCAGCAAAACCAGTGTAATAAACAAAATACCATGCAAGGGCTGTGAGAAACACTATATAGGCCAAACTGGAAGAAAATTGACTATACGAATACACAAACACCAACTAGCCACCAAGAGACACGACCAATTCCCACTTGTCTCACTACACATGGACAACGAGGGACACAAATTCAACTGGGACAACACATCCATAATCTCACAAACCAAACACAGACACGCCAGGGAATTCCTGGAGGCCTGGTATTCCAATCGGAACTCCCATCAACAACCACATTAAATTAGACCCTGTGAACAAACCACTGAGAAACAGAACCGGAAGTGGTACCAAACACCCCAACAAACTGAGGCACATAAATAACAAGCAGGACAGAACACCAACACTTCACCGGAGGCACACTGACAATGTTACCCAGCAGGGTGACAAAATGTTTGCAACCAAACCCACCGGCTCAGCAAGCATGTGTACAACGTCTGGTTTTGCTCTGCCTTTCACAACCAGCAGAAAGGATTGTCCTTCTGCTCCATGCATCCTCAATCACTTCACAGGGTGATTATAGGGACTGGTCTGGCTGCAGGTATTTCTACCCTCGGTAGCTATTCGTCCTGAAGTTGGGTAGCAGCCCTTTCGGGTGTTATGGCACCAGGTAGCATGCTTAATAACACCCTTGCCTATTGGCAATCCACCTCCCCCCTCTCCTACCACCCCTCTATTTCAACAATATCAACAACTAGAGGGCATGGGTTTAAGGTGAGAGAGAAAAGATTTAAAAAGGACCTGAGGGGTAACTTTTTCACACAGAGGGTGATGCATGCATGGAATGAGCTGCCAGAGGAAGTGGTAGAGTCTGGTGTAATTACAACATTTAAAAGGCATTTGGATGGGTATATGAATAGGAAGGGTTTAGAAGGATGTGGGCCAAATGCTAGCCAATGGGATTGGATTAATTTAGGATATCTGATCAGCATGGATGAGTTGGACTGAAGGGTCTGTTCCTGTGCTGTACAACTCTATGATTCTAAGAATAATCATTGTTTCCAGTTATGCAGGAATGGGGATAGCTCACACAGCAACCACTTTTAAATAATCACTGAACACACAGATTTTGGCACTTGCCCAATCTCCGTTGACTTGCCCTACGTGTCGGGAAGACAATAAAATGGTCACCAAGGATGCGTACCAGCATGGAGAAATGGAAATGAAATGGCACAATCAGAATTTCAAATCAAGGTCATGATCTTCCGGCAATAATCCCTCTGATCGCCGTCTCTCCATCCTAGGAAGATGTTATCTAATTAATTTGGTTCTCTGTATAGTGCTGAAGACCTAGAAGTACAGACAGGTTCATTAATCACTGTTAGCTGCTTTTGACTGATTTGCTAATTAAGGAGATCTTGCCTTTGGAATATATTTAGAACCTGCTAACAGATGTATGAAATTCCGTCTTTTGGAAGATGTAATACCGTATTAACTAGTAGATTAGCTGCATTTTAAGGTCAAATAATCCTTTAAATTGGAACAAAAATCTTATTATCTTTATCGCTTGATTTCTCTGATCTACAATGACTCTGTTTTTATATGCAGTGATATCAAAGTCTTCCTCTCGGACCTTCCCTACCTTACTTCCAAACCCAGCTCTACACTGCCCCACGTATTCAAATTATTACGTCTGTTAAATGACCTGTTTCTGCTCAGAATGCACTACCTCATAGCAGAGACTTCAATAAGCTATCCCCACATCCTACATCCATTCCTTAAACTTCTTCGCACTCCCTAATTCCCTCATCTCTCCAATTTATGGAATCCCCTAAAATCTTGCTTCTCTGTTATGCCTTTGGCCACTTTCTGTAATCCCTCTCTCACTTCTGCTTAGGCTGTGACTCTTAAATGTTGAAGCACCCAGGAAAGGTTCGCCCTAGTAAACCGAGCTGTTACTGTAAGTGTGGAATCTATTAATGACTGTCTACCATGGCTCCTGTCCCCATTTTGGAGAGTTGGGCCATAGACTTCATCGGATTCAGCCATACTTATGGCAAAGTACAACAGTGATATCCTTCTGCAGAGTGGCTGATCTGGAGAATTGCTCTCTGTTAGTGCCTGCCGTCAGGTGCAGCAAGGAATTGTGGGCTGAAAGCTAACCTGTTTGGCCATGTGATAAAAACAACTTCTGTAGCCAGAAGTCCTGGAGTGGGACTTGAATCCCAAGCTTCTAACCCAGAGATAAGGATGCTACTGCAAGACCACAGATAGAAGTAAATAGTCATTATGTTTCTGACGGGGGTTTTTGGGATATTGGGCAGGAATGGGCTACCTTTTTATAGAGTGTAGCTTATACTCAGTGACGTATCTACTTAAACACAAGAATTTACATGCATCATTTGTAGATTCCTCGTTTCAATATCTCTTGCTGTCCCAGGCCCATGGCCTGCACTGAAATGTGGATTCACTAGCACAGGTAGTTACTTACTCCTCATTCATTTCACAACGCAGTACGTGCCAAAAATCACTTCATCACAGAGTTTATCTTGGCCAAGTCAGATTTTTCTCACTACAAGTACATACACTAGCTGTTTTCAACAAGTGTCAACTGGCAGCTGTTGAAATCCGGTCTATGATGTTTCCCATGCTCAGAGCAGTGTCAGTTGTAGCAACTGATCTACAGAGATCGACACAGACCAGGAAAGGATCCTGGTATCATCTTAATGCAGTAAGCCACACAGTGTATTTCCTCACCCAAGTTTATTCACTTTAAGGTGGCACATTGGCTCAGTGGTTAGCACTGCTGCCTCATAGTGTCAGGGACCTGGGTTCTATGACTGTTTGAATGATAACTGGATCATGCCCAGTCATATTGCAGTCTGCAAAAGGAGTGGTGATAATTATTGTCTAGGTCCACACAGGAGATAAATCACTTGATTGAAATACCAAAAAGTGGCTCCAATCAGAACTTCAGTCGTATCTGAAGCTGCAAGGCATTGTGCGGAGACAGGGGAGGAAGTAATGGAGGACAGGAGGTACCTGGGGTTTTGTCATGTTTTTAGAACAGTTTAAAAGAAAGGGAGAAGTGCTTGTATTTATAGTGCCTTTACAGTCTCTGAATGTTGCAAACCACTTCACACCCAGTGTAATCGCTATTGTAATGTGGGGAATGCAACAGCTAATTTGTGCGCAGCAAGGTTCTACAAATGGCAATGAGATAAACGACCAAATAATCTGTTTTCAATGATGTTAGTTGAGGGATAAATCCTGGCCGGGACATCACAGAATCCCCAGGGGGTTGTTTCCAATGACTTGAAAAGGCAAATGAATAATGGCCTTATTTGTGCAGTTTTTGACACTCTTAAAAAGAAAGGAGGGAAATTATATTCACTGTATCAAACACTCTCTCTCTCTATGATTATGCTGTTGCCCACTCTACTGCATTTATCACTTCTGGCTCACACATTTTTCTCTCAGTGTCACCGCTCATTCTCTCACAGTCACTTCCTCGCTCGTCCTTGAATGGTATCTTGCCCATCCATACTCTCGTTCTCTCTTTCATACTCTCACTCTCTCTCACTTTTGCTATCACAATCTTACTTTTCTCATCTCTCTGTTTCTCCCCCTGTCTATTAGGTGGTACCATGGAGCTATCAGCCGAGCAGATGCTGAGAATTTACTCATGTTGTGTAAGGAGTGCAGTTACCTGGTGAGGAACAGTGAGACCAGCCGGAATGACTACTCCCTATCATTAAGGTAAGACCTGGTGTGCTACTGCCCCTGGGCAAAGGGGCTTTACAAAATATATCTGCTGAAAGCGACTGTTTTATTTCCAGTTGAGGAACAAATCAGAGCAAGTAACTCATCTCCTTTGACATACCAAGGGTGAGCTTATACAGGGGATGCAACAAAAAAAGGCCTTTTGACCCAACCAGTCCAAGCCAATGCTTATGCTCCATTCAACCTCCTCCTTTCTTTCCTCATCTAAATCTACCATTGTAATCCTATACTCCCTTCTCCCTCATCTGCTTGTCTAGTTTTCCCTTAAATGAAGCTGTATTCCTCATTTTAACCATTCCCTGTGACAGTGAGTTCCACATCCTCACTTCTCACTGGACAGTTTCTTCTGAACTCAACTGTGGGGTTTCTTGGAATCCATCTATTATATCAATAGCCTGGTTATGATCGGCCCCACAAAGAGGAAATATTCTCCCAATATCCAGTCAATCAAAATGTTTCATAATTTTAAAGATTGTTAGGTCACCTCACTGATGATTCTGAGACATGAGACCCGTGCTGCCGATCCTTTGCTGATACTGCCTCTGTACTGCCACTATATCTTTTTAAAGATACAATAACCAAAACTTCAGTACTCTAAATGTAGTCTAACCCAGGTTCAAAACATAACTTCCTGACTTTTCAATTTTATCTCTCAAGATATAAAGCCGCGTTTGTTGTTTTTGTTATATTTACAGTCTTGCTAACTTGTGGTGCAACTTGCACTAGTTCTGTCCCATTCCTTTGTCCTCTATACTCCCTCTCCTCCTTTTATGCCACTTTATTTCTCTTCTTTCCTCTCTCCTTCTCTCCTTTTTCACTTCACTTCCCTCCGCTCCTCTCTTCTCCTTTCCTCTCACTGCCCTCCTCATATCCCCTCCTTTCCAATTCCCATTCCGTCTGACCTATCCTCTTCCTTTTGCTCATTTCCTCCCTGCTCTCCTTCTCTCCAATTCCGACCCCCCTTCTCTTCCCCGTCTCTCCTCTCTTGTTCTCCCCTGCCACCCCATTTCCTCTCTTCAGTCCTTGCTTCTGCACTTGTGTCTCACCGTCTCCCTCGTCGCTTTTCCCCTGCACTCTCTGAGTGAGCCGGCCCAATTCTGGAGTTGAGTTCTTTTCTCTTTCGCATCTGATCACATTTGTGCAGAAACATTTTTCATCATTCTGACCTGTACGGGGATTTAACTGTGAAGCCAGATTATGTGGCACGCTGTCTGTCTGGCCGAGATTTCACAGCAGCACAAAGACACCGAATGCCTCTGTGCACATCACTCCAAGTGAAGACTATTTTGGATTCCCTGGCTGACCTCCCCTCCCCCAGTCATCCTTTTATGTTTCCACTTCGCTGGTTGCAAACCTGTCGTTTCCCTGATGAGCTCAGCCTGATTTTCTGACACACATGACAGCCTGCCTTAGAATTGCGAGCAGACCTGCCATCCAGGTTGCTGTGGTGACTGTTAACAAAATGGATGCCCTTTCTGACATGTAGTGCATGTTATCATCTGATAAGGAGATCAACGTTGTTGCTTATAGCAGCGGTGTAATCAGCACGTCTCTGTTCCATTATAAATGGGTTACTGGCAAATTAAGAGAGGACTGTTGGACATTGAACAGGGATAAAATAGCAAGCCGAATGGGTAATTACAGTAACTGTCAGCAGAAGGACCCTTTGTGATTAAATTAGGTACCTGAACTCACTGAAATGCTTTGTATACAGCAGTCCTTTTATACTTGTCTGCCTTATCTCACAGTTGCCAACATCTACATAATGTATCTCCCTTTATGTTGCACTCCTTTAGCATAAGCTCTTGTTTTGTTCCAATTCAATGAGCATTGTCCCGTAATTGTTGTCAATCAATCACAATTCTATCAGTTATCAAAGGAGTTTGGCGACGTTAAATGGGATACATTTCAATGAAAGAAGAATTGTGAATAAGGAAGGTGAGCTGACGCCACATATAGACAGTTGGGAGTATGATACTGTAGCCAGTGTTGAAACATGGCTGTAAGAACTGCAGGAGCAGCAGCCCAGTGTTTCTGATTACAGGGTTTTCAGGTGAAATAGAAAGGGAATTTCATATAAAAGAAAAAGACACACAATATTGGTTAAAGAAACAAATAAAGCTTTGATTTGACTTATTATTGTCACATGTACCTAAGTACAGTGAAACATTTTGCATTACAGTAAGATCATAGAATCCCTACAGTGTGGAAACAGGCCATTTGGCCCAACAAGCCCACACTGGCTCTCTGAAGAGCATCCCGTCCAGACACATCCATCTACCCTCTCCCTGTATTTTCCATGGCTAATCCACCTAATGTGCACATTCCTGGACACTATGGGCAATTTGGCGTGGCCAATCCACCTAATGCCCACATCTCTGGACTGTGGGAGGAAACTGGAGCACCCAGAAAAAAACTCTTGCAGGCACAGGGAGAATGTGTAAACCCCACACAAATAGTCACCTGAGGCTGGAATTGAACCCGGGTCCTTGACACTGTGAGGCAGCAGTGCTAACCACTGAGCCATCTTGCCACCTAAAATATACGCTTACAAAGGGTGATTGAACAGAGCGAGGAATACAAAGTTACGGCTGCAAAGAAGATGCACAAAAAGCAAGATCAGCACGAGATTTGAAATTGGAGAGGTCCATTCAGAAGTTGATAACAGCAGGGAAGAAACTGTTCTTGAACCTGTTGGTTACATGTGTTTAAGCTTCTGTGTCTTCTGCTTGATGGAAGACATTGGAAGAGATTATAACCGGGGTGGGAGGGGTCTTTAATGATGTTGGCTGCCTTTCCATGGCAGCAAGAAGTGTAGATGGAGCCGGTCGATGAGAGTTGGCTGTGTTCATAACTTGCTGTAGTTTCTTATGGTCCTGGGCAGAGCAGTTGCTGTACCAAGCTGGGTTGCAACCAGATTGGATGCTTTCTATGTGCATCTGTAAAAGTTGGTGAGGGTCCGTATGGACGTGCCAAATTTCCTTAGCCTCCTGAGGAAGAAGAGGCATTGTTGTGCCTTGAGAAAAGATGAATGCAAGAAGGATCATCAAATGAGGCCATATGGGTTCAACAGAAGAAGAAAAGTGGACTGTGCGGAATGTACTATAGATCCCAAATGATTATTAGTAATAAATTAATAAATGAATAATAAACAAGTTTTCAATTACCCCAATAATAACTGGAAAGAATGAGCCATTGCGAGTATAAGTCCAGAGGTGAAATCAAAAGGGAAATTGAGAAAGCAATGTGCAGGACTGATAAAATGTTGATAACTACAACCAAGGAAAAGCTAACGAAGTTTTATCATTATATAAAGAGGAAAAAAGTAACTAAGATCAGAATAGGACCTATTTCAGACCTAAAAGGGAACCTAAAAGGTATCAGATATAAAAGATGGGAGTGCTGTTCTTAATGATTGTTTGCATTTGTTTCATAAAATTGGGAGACAATGCAGATGTTGTAGTTAAAGAAGAGGAGTGTGAGATGGGAGCATCCTAATCCAAGGGGAAATATTAAGGGATTTGGGATCTTTGAATTGCCATGAAAGTAAAAAGAAGCAAAGGAGGAAATAATGAAGGCCCAGACCATCATCTCCTAACCTTCCATGGCCATAAACTTAATCCTGGAGGTCTAAAGGAGAGCCAACATTTTATCACTGTTCATAAAGAATGAAAACTTGGTGTTGGACGAAGTACTGGACACACTTCTGAGGCACAGCAGTAATCATGATGTAGAAATGTAGGAAGATGAGGTCTACACTCAACTGAATGAACATAGGCTAGCTTAATTAAACATGACTGTTTGCAAAGAGTTGTAAGAAAGGACATCATCTGGAACCCTGCAGACTCAGGCTGATGTTATTGAAAACTAACTCAGTGTTCTTAGAGCAAAGATATAATTTAGCCCTTTAATCTACAAGAAAGATATTGATTAATCAAGGACATCCAACATGGATTTAGACAAGGAAAGCTTGTGATTGTCTAACTTAATTGAATTTTTGTAGAGGTAACAAGGAGGCTCAATGACAGAAGAACTTATGATATAGTCTATGTGCACTTTAGCAAGGCTTTTAACAAGATCCTACGTGCTGAGTAACATCATCAGTGCAGCAGGGTAATGAAACGTCTAGGAACTACCGAAACAGCTCAGCGCGCGAGCCAACCAACCACAGCATCCACAGCACAAATCTACTCAAAACCTTAAAGATCCTACCTGGCAGATTGGTCAGAGAAATAAAAGCCCTTGGCCTTCAAGGGAAAATGGCTCAATGGATCCGAAATTAGCTCAGTGACAGGATGCAATGGTTGGTGGATGCTTTTGTGACTGGAAGTTAGTTCCCAGTGCAGTTCATCAAGATTTAGTATTAAGTACCTTGATTTTTACAGTATATGTCAATATTTTAGACTTTAATACAGGAAACATGATTGAGAAATTTGTGCATGATACAAAAGTTGTCCATGAGGCTGATAGGAAGAGAGCTGTAAGTGCAGGAAGATTACAATGGTATGGTCAGGTGCACAGAAAAGTGGAAAATGGAATTCAAATTCGGACAAGTGTGAGAGAATGCAACTGAGAAGAGAGAACTAGGAAAGAGTATACATAATTGTAGAAGAATAGAAGGACCTTGGAGTTCATTTATGTCCTTATATTATTAAAGGGTGCAGGACAAAGGGTTCTGGAAGCTTAGTCTTTGAGTATGTTTGATAGAGATCAACAGATTTCTGATCACCAATAGCGTACAAAGCAATGGGATGAGTCAGTTGAAAGCTGTTCAATCACCCGTGATCTTACTGAATGGCAGGGCAAACTCAACAGACTGAATGGCTTATTCTTGTTCCTTGTTACTACAGTCTTATGTTCCTATAGTTAAGAAGCTGTACAGGATATTTTATTAGCTGTACAGGATATTTTATTAGCTGAGGCATAGAATGTAGGAGCAGAAAGGATATACGGGAACTGTATAAAGCACTATATTT